TACAGCAATTCTACCATGAATGGGTGAACCTGGTCTGCAACTATGTTCAAGTAGCTTACAGACGTCAGGGATTGTTCTATGAAGACTATGGATCCTAATGTGCCCCATGAAAACATTGTTCCTGGGCGAGAAAGCATGAAAACCTGGGCGAGCCCATTTTTGTAGATGGAGGATGGTCATAATGTAATGACTCTTCGGTGTATATATACACTGGTGTGCAAAACTTAAGCAACAAGTGCGTTTTTTGTCATAACTCTACAAGAAATCATCCGATTGACATGAAATTTGAATATGATGTACATTATTTTGTACTTAAACAATGGTAAAAGAATAATGGCGCAGAAAATATAAAGCTTAAAGTAGGGTATGGAACAAAGAAGGCTTTATTTGACATATAGTGGCGTTACACATGATTGCCTGAAGATGCGCAAGTACAGCTGGCAGATGTTCCCTAGTATGGGATATGCCATTCGCTTTCTGTAATTGTTGCTTGGCATCGTCTCTCCATGCTAAGCACCAGATTATCCAGGAGTTCTTGGGGTAAACGTCTCCATTCCTCCTTTAACGCATCTTTCAGCTGATGGGTGTTACCAGGGGGATACTGTCGTTTCGCAAGACGTCTCCCTAATGCACCCCACACATGCTCTATTGGATTTAGATCTGGAGAGTAAGCTGGCCAATCCATTCGTGTGATATCTTCACTTTCCAGTAGCTCTTGAACATTAGCAGTACGGTGTGGCCGGGCATTGTCATCCATAAAAATGCAGTCTGGTCCAATGGCCCCTCGGATCAGACGCACATGGGGTAGGATTACCTCATTGCAGTAGCGATCGGTCAAAGATCTGAACCTCGGTCGAAGATCTGAAGCTCAGTCCGCCCGTTCAACATAATGCCACCCCAGACGAAAACTCCAGGACCACCGTAACGATCTCTTTCCGCGATGTTATTGAGATGAAATTGAGCTCCAACCTCTCTCCAGATCAACTGACGTTGAGAATCGCTTGTAGCACTAAAACGATTCTCATCTATGAAGAGGACGCGAACTCCATTGATGAGGTGTCCAGGTTTCGTGTTCTCTGCACCACTCTAAACGGTGCCACCGATGGCTAACTTTTAAAGGTATGCAGCGTTCCGGACGTCTAGCAAATAAGCCACCTTTGTGGAGGCGTCTGGCCACTGTAAATCTTGATACTTGTCGTCCTGTGGCTGTGCACAGTTGCTGAGATATGGCACTCGCTGACTGAAAACGGTTTCTTTCCGCCTGGAGGACAATGTAACGGTCATCTCTTGGTGTTGTTTTCCTTGGACGGCTACCACCAACGCACCAACCTTCCGAACAGCTATACCAGTAGTTTTAAAGGCATTCCAAGCACGAGAAACAACACTTTTGTTGATCCCGAACTCTTCGGCGACACTGGTCACACTACGCCCCTCCTCAAGCTTCCCAATCATTCTTCCTCGAGTAAATCCTCGATTTCTTGAAGACATGTTTCGCAAAACAAATCACTTGCAGCGAATGTCTTTAACTACGGTGCTCTTCATCCTTATATCACAGCTTTGACCTGCGCGCGCCGACCCACAAGGTTTACGTACACTTACATCACCTACGACGTTTTATTTCTAAAATTTGCATACAAATAATCTTTCTACTGAATTACGTGCATATTAGGCTGCAATTTCATGGCTATCTTATACTTTTTTGGGGAGCTGTTGTTGGGGAAACACCTTTTTTTATTTGTTTTTCTCATATGCACAAATTGTGTTTTTTTCTTTTTGTACCCAAATGCTCAATAAAACGCATTTTATTCTGCCAAACAAATGTTATTTTTTATCTCATATAGCCTACTACTACGTCTGTCGATCATTCAAACAATTCTTCAGGTGCAAGATCAACCCACAACCCCAATATCCTGTAATTGTTTTGAGCATTGTATGCGGTCTGGTTTGAAAAAGTATTAATTTTTTTTAAGATGTAGGCGTTTTTAAATTTTAAAAATATCAAAATATTGCTTTGCTGCTAGCAACACACATTAGTGCGAAATTTCAAAACTTTTACGTAGGCGGAAAAAGGAAATGAACCAAGTGTACAGTGCGCAAATAAAAAATGGGCCACCCTGATTAACTTTTGGTGTAATGATCAGATTTTGACGTTCTATGACTCAATCTTAAATGTTCGGAGGGTTGACCTCAAATATGCTAATTAGCAAGTGCAAACTACATTTTAAGTCACGAAATTGGACGCAAAAACGTATTTTCTCTATAAACTATTGGAAAAATATTTTCCAATAGTTTGGTCAGGAGAGCGATTCATAGTTTTGACTCACTATCGGTTGAGAGCTTTTGAATCAAAAATTCTTTGCACGCATTTATAAAATTTGTTTATCCAACGATAATTTCATGCAAAATATAATTTTGTAAATATTTATTATTTTTAATTATTTTATTTAATAGCAGTCAACAAACTTTTGAATTGTGAAGTGTAAAACTTTTCCCATTATTTTAAAGAATGAAATTTTAAATGGCTAAATGCAAAGTATGGGCGAAATCAGTCGAATAGTTTCTGAGAAATTTAAAACTGCAACTTTTTCAAATTATTCAGGGTCGTCCGTTTATTTTTTTGCGCACCATAAAAATATCTATCTTTGTCTATTACATAGCTACATAACCAACGTTTACATAACTTATGTTTTCAAATTTTAAACATAAAATATATTGTTTCCAAAGACAGTGACTTTATTTATTGTAATGTTAACAATCTAAATTGTATCACCGATGGAATATCAAATAAACAGCTGAAGAGCAATATTTTGTTGAACCAGCCACTTTTTATTCGTTCAACTAAAACTTTATTATCTCAATCAAGGTTTATTGGTCTAACTAAGCATTAAAAGTTATTAATATAGTTGTTTCGGAAAGAAAATCATAAAGTTTACTCTCATACTGAAAGCAGCTAATCATGTAAATGTGCGTACGAGCCAATCACACCTAAATTGGCGATAAAGAAATGTTTTTGGTGATAAATACTCTTCGAAAAGAAAAGGTAAGATTGCATTAAAACGTATCATTCGAACATCTTACTATAGTTTGCTGTAACAGAAATATAATTACAGTATATTAACGAGAAATTTCTAAACTTGAACAGCTGTTTTAACTGTACTTAGACTAATTTAACCATATTTAGGGTACCACAAAAAGTTTTGTGGAAATCGCCAAGTTACGTCATCAATACATGAGCAATACGTCATTAATGCGTCAACAATGAATCGGCTGATCATTTATTCGTTCCCTTTCTCATTACATTTAATTCGAAAAAATAAACTGAAACGTATATAAAATATAATAATGAAAAAGTTCAATTTCTATTGACTATTTTTTTTAATAATTTAAATATTTGGCGATCATTTCGGTACAGGGATTTTTGTCTTGTACCCAGCTAACGGAAATGGATCAACACTCTTCTAACTTTTTAGTAGAAATGAGAAACTTCATAAAAATATCTGGAATTCTATGAGAAGAGTTTCTCTCGTATTGGATATGAAAGAAATAATAAAAAGGAGTACACGAAAGAAAAATAAAACGTCATTTCGACAAGTCACCACGTGATCAAGTCACCAAGTCGTCAAGAGCAATGCATTTTATTTAAAATTTGAATTATCTATAGTCTCTACTCCAGTTAAAAATATATATATATGTACTTATTTCAACGATTTTAAGATGAAAAATTTTTTAGATATTGAACTTAACATTATTTGCTTTTAATAAATAAATTTTTATTTACATATAAATATTTCGTATTTCTGCAGACATAAATGGTTGGTGAACTAAATGGATAAAATGAATTGTGTTACTTATTTCACTACGTTACTCTTCTGCCTAGGTAAGTTTAAGTACGTTATTGTATTAAATTGCATTAGATATTTATAATAATGGCATAATTTGAATTTTTTTATAAATAATACAATTTTTAATGATTTTAGAAATACTATTTTATTGTAAATCTTTAATACCTTAAGAGTTGTTGCTCACTTTATTGTTTCTTATTATTTATATATATATATATGTATATTGTTCAACTCCGTAGCTCAAATTTTGTATTTTGACATACAAAATTACACTCTTTAAAATGGTGTAAAATTTGTATACATAATAATAAAATTTTTTGTTCTACTATTAATAAGCAAAATAATAAATAATTATTAAAAAATGTTTTCTGCATGAAATTATCTTTGGAAAAATAAATTTTATAATTGTGTGCAATATTTTTAAATTCGCCTGAAAAATTTTTCAAACATAGCGAAAGACGCAAAAAGTAAAATTAACACTAAGTGGTCCTAACTTAGGACCACTCTCCGAATTAAACTATTGAGACCATATTTACCAATTTGCGGTTACCCACTTTATTTTGAGGGTAAGAAATCCAAATAAATCAAGAAAAGGCATATTTATTTAGAGAAAGTATTGCACTTAATATTTGCACTTAAGGGAAAGTATTTGCACTTATTTAATAATTAGACCAGTAATTATAGCGAAAAATGAGTGTTTCTTTTTAAAAATTACGGCCCAATGTAATTTTTTACAAAAAAAAATTTTGTTATTATAAATGATACCTAAATGCTCCTCAGTTCTCCTCTGTACACTTTCATTGTTTTGAGGGAAATGGGGTGAGGGGGGATCGAAGAATTGAATTTTTTCTAGACAGACACGTAAGACATTGTTTCCGATGGATTTTTTTCACGCTTAATTGAAATTTATTCGTCCCGACACAATTGGATTCATAGTTTAGAACTCTGCACTTTCAAATGCTATTTCAAAAGAAGCATTTGAAATGTTTTACGCTAAATCAAATGAGACAGTACACAAGTCAATGAAACAAATAGTTCAAAAGTTGCATGCGTTTTTGCTTATTAAAAGTACTCCACAATTATTTAATCCATACCGATTATTAATTCATGAAATTTGATTTGAATAAATATACTTAAATGAAAAAGGCCATATATAGGACATAAAAATAGAATAATACATAATACTTATAATTCAACAATCTATTTATCGTCAAGAAACAAAAATGATTGAAAGGCAATAACGAGGGTCGGTGAGCGAAGCGAGAAGGTGACATATATTGCCCCAAGTATCATGAATATTAATTAAAATAAAAAAACTGCTTGCACAAAATATCAAATTTAGTCATTTTTTAAATGGATATCATTCAAAAGCATTTAAAAATAGCTCATAAAAAATCCTCAGAGGCCGCCATTTTGAACTTCCGCTATTATTGTTTCGGGCTAAATTTGAGATGGCCTTCCATCCAAATATAAAGCTTTGTATGTGTGGTACAAGTGTACCAAGTTTTGTACTTCTATCATTAAAGGCGTGTTTATTTCTTCTCATTGAGTCTCGCGCAATCTGTATTCTTTAAGTATTTTTCTTCAAGTATAATGATTATTTTTAAAATCTAGGAAATCGTCTATTTCGTTATGATTTACATATTAACTAAATGTTCTTATATTGAGCTGCAGTTACTATATATATTGAAAACAAAATGTAAGGCCGGGATAGCCTGGTCGGTAGGGCGCTGGGCCATGTCTGAGAGTTCGTAGGTTCGTACCCCGCCGGCCGAAGACTCCCCGTGTATTAAAGTGACTGATGCACGTTAAATCTGTTGAGTCGCAAAAGTCCTCCATGTTCCCATAACAAATCAAAACCTCTGGGGGTACTGGATTGGAGATCGATCGTTCTCTGATTCTGGTCAAAATTGCGATCTGTGGATGAAGGAATGGATTTATGAATGGGGCCGCCCTATAAACGGGTGCGGCGTATAGTGTGGGAGAAGTCGAATTCTTGGCCATAGATGGCGCCAGTGAAAAACAAGAAACGCACACTCTGCCTTAAGATTTGCTCGGTTTCACCAAGCAGGCTTGTCCGTGTGGCAAGTAGCGTTAGAAACAACAACTGCGAAACAAAATGTTCTGTGTTTTTGTTTAAAATATTGACGTTTCGGAAGAACTAAACAACGATGAATGAGAAATAATTACGGGGGTTGGTGAGCGAAACATGCAGGAGGTGTAATGTTCTAGTTGTCGTAGGCCATTAAGGCAAGGAGTACGATTGCTCTTATTTTCCAATTACCCCATCTATGGCCATGAATTTGTCTTCTGTCACGCCCACACGTCACGCCCGTCAATAAAGTGAACCAATTTATTCATCCACTGATCGTAATTTTGACCTGAAGATATGTGTAAACGACCAATGTCCAATTCAGTACCCCCAGATGTATAATTTGTTGTGGGGACATGGAGGACTTTGTGATCCAACAGATTTAACGTACACCAGTCACCATTTACTGCACGAGGAGTCTTCGGCCTGCTGGATTCGAACTCTCGTTCTCATGAATGTGAGTCCACCACCTTGTTCTTATTTTCCAATTACCCCATCTATGGCCATGAATTTGACTTCTGCAACACTCATACGTCACACCCGTTTGTAAAGTGGACCCATTTATTCATCCATTGATCGTAATTTTGACCTGAACCAGAGAACGACCAATGTCCAATTCAGTACCCCCAGATGTATAATTTGTTGTGGGGACATGGAGGACTTTGTGATCCAACAGATTTAACGTACACCAGTCACCATTTACTGCACGAGGAGTCTTCGGCCTGCTGGATTCGAACTCTCGTTCTCACGGATATGAGTCCACCACCCTGCCAATCACGCTATCCCGGCTCTTAGGAGGTGTAATAATATCATTTGAAGTAAATAATATCAGTTAAATGTTAACAATTTTAGTCTTTGCTGCAAATCTAGTTGTATTTATTTGACTGCTCCCTAACTTTCTATAAACTAAGACAATAATAATAGAGGTAAGTTTGCGTTATTGGTCTGCGTGTTAAATACCTAAAGTGTATTCAATATGCAAATAGTTCTGATGGAAATACTTAAATAGGAAATTTCTGCAGGTTTTTTACAATCACTATCTTCAACACCACTGACGGTTGAACCAACCATTATAAATCTAAATAATAGTTTATGGAATGGAACTGATGAACGAAATGCATATACATTGTCAACTTCTGCTGGCATCAATCTGACACAAATTCCAGTTCCAACCACGTCGGAATCAACACCTCCTATACCACCTGATGGCTACTGGAATGTAACAGATGGAAATATTACATGCATTAGAGCTCATTTAAAAATACGATTTAAAATAAATTCTGAAGTAGGTAACATTTTGTATTTTTCATGGCGAAAATTGCCGTACCAAATATTTCTTTCAAATATTTTAAATACTTCTTTCCTGAAATTAAACTACAATAAAAAATTTAGAATTATGCAAAATAATTTATTACTATTCGCGATTTTTACAAACTTAGGAAACATGCCTATACTGAATGTGGTTTGGTCGCTCTGCTTTAAATTCACCAATAAGATTCTTAATTTCTTAATATATATTTTATATGAATTTTTACTTTGATGAAAAAGAGACAAAAAATATTGTCGGTGCAGCATTGGAAAATATTTTGTATTATAATGAAAAGTTTGTTTTCAAAATCGTTGAATTCTACACAGTCACTTGTTAATAACAAAAAGAGAAGGGAAAAAATCTTTACTCCTTAAGGTCTGGTTTCTTAGGACAAGCGCCTTATCTGGGCGTCAGCGGGACGTCAACGTCACGCTGACGCCAACAAAATACTGGTTTGTTAGCTCAAGGCCTGGTTTCTTAGAACTAGCGCCTTATCTGGGCGTCAGCGGAAAGTTGACGTAGATCTGACGCCAAAAAAATACTTTTTTGTTAGCTCAGCGTGAGCAGTCGGTCCAACGCAGACATTATCTCTCATTGCGCATGCGTTAATAACGTAAACAAATATTTATTTTGAATTTGTATTGATTTTGTTATTGTCG